ATAATCATGCATAGCCTATTGTTAACATTAACACTATTGAGATGAAACTATATCGCGATGGATAACAACTATCGCGATAGCGATAGTCTATTGCAACATATTGCTAGCGATAGTCTATTGCAACAACCATTGCGATAGCGATAATTCATTGCAACATAGCTATTGCATATTGCGATAGCGAAAGTCTATTGCAACCAACTATTGCGATAGCGATAGTCTATTGCAACCAACTATTGCGATAGCGATAGTCTGTTGCAACAACTATTGCAAGCGATGCTATTGCGATAGCGATAGTTGAAGTCTATTGCAACCAACTATTGCGATAGCGATAGTCTATTGCAACATGCTATTGCGATAGCGATGGTCTATTGCAACCAACTATTGCGATAGCGAAAGTCTATTGCAACCAACTATTGCGATAGCGATAGTCTATTGCAACCAACTATTGCGATAGCGATAGTCTATTGCAACCAACTATTGCGATAGCGATAGTCAACCAACTATTGCATACCAACTATTGCGATGCTATTGCGATAGCGATAGATTGCAACCAACTATTGCAACATTGCAACCAACTATTGCGATATAGTCTATTGCAACCAACTATTGCGATAGCGATAGTAGCGAAAGTCTATTGCAACCAACTTGCGATTGCGATGATATTGCGCGATAGCGATCTATTTGCGATAGCGAAAGTCTATTGCAACCAACTATTGCGATAGCGAAAGTCTATTGCAACCAACTATTGCGATAGCGATAGTCTATTGCACCCAACTACATGTATTGCGAAAGTTGTTTTCTCCTTGAATTGTCTCATTTGAAGTCATTTCCCAAATGAATGTATAGTTAATATGAAATATAAACGAGCTGAAGTAGTTTCAGTCTCTTTTGATAACTCTCAAGAAACTTGTTTAACAGGTAAGTCTAAATCAAAGTGAACGAATCTGGTTACTTCGGAAGTTCCTGTATTTTGCGCTGTGCATTTATCAACGGAAGTCAGTTACTAAACTATCGATAGTCACACATAGTATGGATGCATCGATAGTTTTTCGTTTCTCCCTTCGGAGACTCAACAACTGCAATCCATCGATACTTCGATGCATCGTTATAGCCCTAGTTAACACCTCTTGAACTTCTACATGCAGACCGCCTCCGTGGTGTAGTGGTTAGAGCGTCCGCCCGGAGAGCGGAAGGTCGCAGGTTCGATACCCGACCGCGTCATACCAAAAGACGTTAAAATATGGTACTTGTTGGTCCCTGCCTGGCGCTCGGCATTAGTGGGTACAACAAGGACTGGTCGGCTCGGAGTCAGTATAATGTGTCTGAGTGGGGTATTCCTGCTTCACTGCGGCATGGTATCTCAGTGAGCTGGCACTATAAAACCAGCTTCAGTCTGGGCTAGTAGAAGCAGCCGCACATACACATACACACACACGCATGCACGTCGTCATATGAGCGAAATATTCTCAAGCACGACGTTAAACCCAATTTCACCTCACCTCTACATGCAAATGGGCGCTTCGTTTTATCCTTGAAAGTTTTAAAATTGCTATTGACTAACAGCAATGTACTGTTTCAGTGTTAACCTCTTGTCCCAGTTACCAAAAAAGTCATGAGTGCATGACGTGGCAGTACCGCGTTATATATTCTCATGGAAACTAATAAGGGAACACATGACAGAATTTCACACACAGTGCAATACACACCTTGTGAAGAAACCTGGGAAAGAATAAAGGAACACTTGTACTTTCATGTGTCCCCTTATTTGTTTCCATGAGTATATTTTAACACAGTACAAAATGTTTACAAAACGGTTAACAAGTCTTGGGAGGAGGCTCAGATGAGTGAGTGAGTGAGTTTAGTTTTAAGCCGCACTCAGCAATATTCCAGCTACATGTATATGGCGGCGGTCTGTAAATAATCGAGTCTGGACTAGACAATCCAGTGATCAACAGCATGAGCATCGATCTAAGCAATTGGAAGCCGATGACATGTGTCTGCCAAGTCAGCGAGCCTGACCACCCGATCCCGTTAGTCGCCTCTTACGACAAGCATAAGTTACTGAAGATCAAAATAATAATTTCTAACCCGGACCTTCACGGGTAGGAGGTGAGGTGAAATTGGGTTTAACGTCGTGCTTGAGAATATTTCGCTCATATGACGACGTGCGAATGTGTATGTGCGGCTGCTTGTACTAGCCCGGACTGAAGCTGGTTTTTAGTTCTAGCTCACTGAGATACCACGCCGCAGTGAAGCAGGAATACCCAACTCAGACACATTATACTAACTCCGAGCCGACCAGTCCTTGATGTACCCATTAATGCCGCACGCCAGACAGGGACCAACAAGTACCATATTTTAACGTCTTTTGGTATGACGCGGTCGGGGATCGAACCCGCGACCTTCCGCTCTCCGGGCGGACGCTCTAACCACTACACCACGGAGGCGGTCTTCACGGGTAGGAGGCTCTGATAGCATGTTGTTACTTAACAGTGCATATAGAACTGATGAGTGAGTGAGCGAGTATGGTCTTACGCCGCTATTAGCAATATTCCAGCGATATCACGGCGGGGGATAGAAATGTAGGGAATCGAACCGGGGTCCTCGATGTGACGAACGAACGCTTTAACCACTAGGCTACCCCACCGTCCCTAATGCAACATCACGACGGGGACACCAGAAATGGTGATGCTCAGTGGTATCCTATGGTTGGATTGCTGGTAAAATGTCCATTATTTCAGCGGCAGCGAGTGGAATCGCGAGTTTCGAGAATTCCTGCAAGTGCCCAACACTATTCTGGAAACACGAATGGAGACAAGACTGTTTGAAAACAATCTTCGTGAAAACATTTCGGACATTCGTGAGTGTATTAACATTAATAATAGACGCTGCTGTCATGTATTTGACATTTTATATTTTTATTGTAAACCTAAACTGAGTGAGAAACCTAAACTGAGTGATTCAGTAAATTATACACTGATTATCATCCTCGATAATCTCCAGGGTATACGTTACGATCACTCTCCACTATACCCTGGATGCATCAAATTTGAACGAAATCGGTGAAGAAATGGATTTTTTAGAAATTCTCCCGCTACACTCATTACATAAAATACACAAGTGTGTTCTCTCTAGCGGGAGAATTTTCTAAAAAATCCATTTCTTCACCGATTTCGTTCAAATTTGAAATATAAGTTACTCATAACATGTGAAAACAATATACGGTTGCAAAAATCTAGATTTTTATTTTTAAAAATTATTGTCCAAACAGTGATTCGAACCCCTGTGTGTTGTAATGTAACTGCAACATTGTTCAAATAAATCATCTAGCTCACTCACTCAAATGTGATGAGTTGTGTTGTGTATAAAGTTTAGAGTATGCAGGTAGAAACGTATGTTACCATGTTATCAGTTTTCAGTTATCAATGATTAAAGTGATCATGCCTCCATTTGTCTATACCTAAGCAGGAACACCATAAAAACGTCATTTTCAACAATATTTTATTTCCAATTATGTGTCATAACTTGTTAACAATGGCACCGGAGAGGGTATCCAAACTTTGTCTTTCTGTATCGAAAGATTTGGAGAATAGCCCACGAGGTACGAGTGATTACGGGAAATATGTCCCGAGTTAAATTAAGGTTTCCCGCAATCACTCGTACCTCGTGGGTTATTCTATTTATCACCCATTCTGTAATTAAACCATGAAACATGAAGCATTTATGAAATCAAAGCCGCATCTTCTTATGTAAGTGTTTACAACTAAATCAGGTAATCTGTATTAATGCGCAAATGAAACCAAACTGCTCAAGTTAAATGGAATCGCATTCGAACCACAATATAGTGCTGTATAAAACGATATGAAAAACAACGCAATTAAACAGTTTCCAAATTCCTTTGATGGCGATTTTATTAACCACACCCCATTGTAAAGTTTAAGTTCATTTTCAACGAGTACAATCACATATTCAATATTTAGTCGTAGATCGCAACTGTGTCGATCTAGCCTACTCGTGTCAGAAAGTGGGTGACTGTTGTTGGATACAAAACAGCAAAATCCTGTCAATCTATTTTAACATAAAACAGTGAAAATCTGCAAGGGAACAATAAAACGCAGGGTTGGTGAATTTTTTTTTTAAGAAGACGATACACAATTATGAATTTTTGTCAACATTTTGTTGAAACGCACTGTGACCTAGTTTTGGTTCACGTCAGTGTCCTTGTCAGGAACGATAACTCTAAACTTAGTCCGAGTCCGAGTCGACAACAGATTTCGTTCGCAGCCACAACGTTTTCGTATGGGTAATAAACGTAGCTGAGCGCCACAGTGATCAACCGATCAAGACAAAGATTATAACACATTGACAGAACAAATTAGAACAAAGGTTAAAGCGGAAACCAATCAAAACAGGTTTAACTGTACATCTCGCAGGGCGACATAACCACGTGACAATGACGGTTGCCATACTTAGGTTTGTAACGGACATTTCAATACATTAATAATCATTCAGATAAATTTTTTATAACTTTTGTTAGTTCGCAATTTGTTTTATTTGACTTATATGTAAATGCGTATATAAACTTTCTTGTGCGCATTTTAAAAGCTGATGAATACTGGCTGAATGGAGAGAATGAATAATTGGCAGACACAAACATACTTTTCCAATACACACACTCGATGATAACAAACAATACATAAGCATAATCTATAAAACAGACAAAATCATGTGATGACATGTGTACAAATGTTCGTAACCCACTCGTACAAGCCTTCGTTGAAGTTACGGAAAGGGGTGAGTGATGACGAATGTGTTAAAAACATTAAGGCGTGTTATTCAAGGTATCTTTGATAAGGACACGGAAACACGGAAACACTCACAGTCTAAAATTGTATCACGGCAACAGTTAATGTCATAAAGAATTTCAATGAAGTTCTAAAGATTTCTGAAGAGAGTGATTCTAGAGTGATTCTAGAAGAATATGAAATTACCATAATGGCCAATAGTGAAACAAGCGTGTCTGAGGGTGACATCATGACGGGAACCCGAGAAGATCCGGGTTAGAATTGATCTTCAGCAACCCATTCTTGTCGTAAGAGGCGACTAACGGGATCGGGTGATCAGGCTCGCAGGCTCCCAATTGCGTAGATCGATGCTCATGCTGTTGATCATTGGATTGTCTGGTCCAGACTCGATTATTTACAGAACGTTGCCATATAGCTGGAATATTGCTGAGTGCGTTTTGAGTCCGTGGAGACTTCGTGAGAATAGACGAACCGGAAGGAAGGAAACTGATCATTCTGTTTGCGCAGGTACAGTTTGCCTACGGCGTACTTTACAACGCACGTACTTTGGCATCAGAATGAGGCCGGGTTCCCAGGTGGCGGGGTTGCAGGACGGGAGGGGTTCGTCGTCGGGGGGTAATATGTCAAATTCTTGAAAAATCGAAGCAATGAACATGAAGATTCGTGACCGAGCAAAGTTCTGTCCTGGACAGCTGCGCTTCCCTATCCCGAACTGCACAAACCTGGAACAAATGATGCTTTTATCAAAACATGCAAAATATTATCCTGACACCTGCTAGTTAAAAGGTTCAATCGTCTTAATTTGAACATATACTTTTTTCAATATTATTTTTCAATTATTTCTGTATTAGAAATATGAGTGAGTGAGTGAGTTTTCAAGGTTTATTGTGCAGGTAACCTTCGGTACAAATGCAACAGTACATGCTAACCCTTTTTCTGAACACCTAAAGTCCCATTCATACACTTTTCAGAACTATTTTTTTACGCATAACTGATTCTGTTTAAGCAAACAAATCAAGACTTTTTTTTCTGGTGAGGACGTTTAGGATTTACTTTTGTCTGGCATCATTAAGAGGACTGACGAGGCTCCCATCTTCTTCCAGGAACCTCTCTGGACGGAACTGCCATGGCTCCTTCCACTGGGTGGGATCATGGTTCATATAGTACAGGTTCGGTAGGAGCTAAAACCACAGAGGACCATCATTTGTGATAGTGAGTGAGTGAGTTACATAGGCAGTATTTCAGTCATATTCATTAAAACTATTATTAGTTTAGCATTTGCTGAATTGTATTGAAAGACGAGTGGGTTTAGTTTCACGACGCTTTTAACAATATTCCAGCTATATCACGGCGGGGGACACCAGAAATAGGCTTCACACATAAAACCCATGTGGGGAATCGAACCCGGGTCGAGAGAACGCTTTAACCTATCGGCTACCCTACAACCCCCATTAAAAGACGACAGCAGCAATATTTAAGTTAATGTTTGACTTGACAGAGCTAGTATAGTTTGTGAGTTTGATTTTACACCGCTTTAGCAATATTCAAGCGAAAGAAATAGGTCATTTATGTGAGGAACCATACACCATGCTTACCATAGACTTTTCTGGGATACGGCATCCATTGTATTCGATCTCTTCTCTGATCATGTGTGGTAACCCCAAAGGGAGCTGGCTCGTGTATCGCATCATTTCAAATAAAAAGGCATCAAAGTAAGGCGTGTTCATATGGTCTTTCAGACTAGGTACCCTGTCCCCAATGGCCTCGCTGATCTCCTTCTGAAGCTTCTGCTGGATGTCCGGTCTGTGGAGGATCATCAGCATCATACCAAGCAGGGTGGACTTGGACGTCACGTACCCTGCAGGAGGTACCCAAAGTAAGATAAGTATTCAGGGTGGATATAGACACCACGTACCCTACAGGAGGTACCCAAAGTAAGATAAGTATACAGGGTGGATATAGACACCACGTACCCTGCAGGAGGTACCCAAAGTAAGACTGACTGAGTTTGGTTTTACGCCGCTTTTAGCAATATTCCAGCAACATCACGGCGGGGGACACCAAAAATGGGCTTCACACATTGTACCCATGTTGGGATTCGAACCCGGGTCTTCGGCGTGACGAGCCAACGCTTTAACCACTAGGCTACCCCCCCCCCCCCCCCCAAATAAAATAAGTATGCAGGGTGGATATAGACACCGCGTACCCCACAGGAAGTACACAAAGTAAGGTAAGTATGCAGGGTGGATATAGACACCACGTACCCTACAGGAAGTACGCAAAATAAGGTAAGTATACAGGGTGGATATAGACACCACGTACCCTACAGGAAGTACACAAAGGAGGGTAAGTATACAGGATGGATATAGACACTACGTACCCTGCAGGAGGTACCCAAAGTAAGATAAGTATACAGGGTGGATATAGACACTACGTACCCTACAGGAAGTACACAAAGTAAGATAAGTATACAGGGTGGATATAGACACCACGTACCCTACAGGAAGTAAATAGTAAGATAAGTATGCAGGGTGGATATAGACACCACGTACCCTACAGGAAGTAAATAGTAAGATAAGTATACAGGGTGGATATAGACACTACGTACCCTACAGGAAGTACACAAAGTAAGATAAGTATGCAGGGTGGATATAGACACCACGTACCCTACAGGAAGTACACAAAGTAAGATAAGTATACAGGGTGGATATAGACACCACGTACCCTACAGGAAGTAAAAAGTAAGATAAGTATACAGGGTGGATATAGACACTACGTACCCTACAGGAAGTAAACAAAGAAAGATAAGTATACAGGGTGGATATAGACACCACGTACCCTAAAGGAAGTACACAAAGATAAAGTATACAGGGTGGATATAGACACTACGTACCCTACAGGAAGTACCCAAAGTAAGATAAGTATACAGGGTGGATATAGACACCACGTACCCTACAGGAAGTACACAAAGTAAGATAAGTATGCAGGGTGGATATAGACACCACGTACCCTAGGAAGTACACAAAGTAAGATAAGTATGCAGGGTGGATATAGACACCACGTACCCTACAGGAAGTAAATAGTAAGATAAGTATACAGGGTGGATATAGACACCACGTACCCTACAGGAAGTACACCAAAGTAAGATAAGTATGCAGGGTGGATATAGACACCACGTACCCTACAGGAAGTACATAAAGTAAGATAAGTATGCAGGGTGGATATAGACACCACGTACCCTACAGGAAGTACACAAAGTAAGATAAGTATGCAGGGTGGATATAGACACCACGTACCCTACAGGAAGTACACAAAGTAAGATAAGTATGGAGGGTGGATATAGACACGACGTACCCTACAAGAAGTACCCAAAGTAAGATAAGTATACAGGGTGGATATAGACACCACGTACCCTACAGGAAGTACACAAAGTAAGATAAGTATGCAGGGTGGATATAGACACCAAGTACCCTACAGGAAGTACACAAAGTAAGATAAGTATGCAGGGTGGATATAGACACGACGTACCCTACAAGAAGTACACAAAGTAAGATAAGTATGGAGGGTGGATATAGACACGACGTACCCTACAAGAAGTACACAAAGTAAGATAAGTATGTAGGGTGGATATAGACACCACGTACCCTTCAGGAAGTACACAAAGTAAGATAAGTACACAGGGTGGATATAGACACCACGTACCCTACAGGAAGTACACAAAGTAAGATAAGTATACAGGGTGGACATAGACACCACGTACCCTACACACATTCAATCCTCGTAACTCGAAGATGTGTTTATGATATCACAAGCTGGGACGAGTGGTCCATACTCCATTACCCGCGATAAAGCTGCAACATCGCTGACGGCGACATAAATCAAAAGAAACCAAAATTGTGTAAAACCATTCCAGTGTGCATGCAACTGACGCAAGTACATCGTAACACCTACCGGCAGCCACCAGTTCGAAGATGAGGGCAAGGACGTCATCTTTCGTCACCGGGGAGTCTTCTTTGGAGGCCTCTTCCAGAAACCTATCTAAGACACCATCTCCGGACCGGAAGTTCACCTAAACACGTAATGAACTGTTGCTTACACGCCCCTCTCGTACAGTGGATTCAAATGAGTTAGAGGATGCATGTACATGCTATCAACATTCCAGTTTTGAGACAGAAGGGGGCACTAGAGATACGCTTCAAACATCGTACCTTAGGGGAAGAGTGTGTGTTGTGTCTGTGTGTGGGGAGAGGCCAATACTTCAGTAACTTCCTTACATCCCTTGAGATTTGGAGAATACATGAAATCCCTGGGGGTCACAGTGATTTCACGAAATCACTGACTCTTTTAAGGATTACATGAAATCCCTGATTTCACACATTCCCCGTAACATATATATGTTTAATGTAGGCTTGTGTATTTAAGTAACATCTCGGGTTCAAACAGTTATTATTCTTCCTGTAGTGTGGTCAGTTACTCAGAGGATAATTTCTATCTGTTCCTACCTTATAGTCGGTGAAGAACAGTTTGGTAAGCTTGGCCCTGGTCGCCTCAATCCTTTTCCAGCGACGGCCATAGCTGTTTGGGAGATGCCGGAGAAAGGGTAGATTGGTCAGAACGGACTCTTGATCGATGCCCAAGGACCTGTTGAGGAGGTCGTCCATCTCTCTCATGATGGCGATGTTGTCACTGCCAGGCAAGGGGCGTTCACCAGTCAGCTAAACGGCAACAAAAGTATGGTCAGAGACAGCATTTCAGTCGCTTGTAAGATTCACATTGCAGGAAAGCGCATTGTGAATTAAAGTTAGAAAACTACCATATGTTGCTGTCAAACAAAGGTATTACGATCAGGGTGAATCTGGGGTTCGAAAATATGGTCGTACGATCCAAGGGAGACAATTCTGCACATAGAACAGCAGTGCCTCTGACGACTGGGACCTAACCAGTACTACAGAAGTGTCTGTCATAAACTATTATCGTATGGTCATGTCTTTCAGCTATGTTTACGTGGGCGGTGGGGTAGCCTAGTGGTTAAAGCGATCGCTCGTAACGCCGAAGACCCTGTTTCGATTCCCCACATGGGCACTCTGTGTGAAGCCCATTTCTGGTGTCCCCGCCGTGATATTGCTGGAATATTGCTAAAAGTGGCGTAGAACCATACTCACTCACTCACCCGTGGCATAAATGGCCTTTAAAATTAAGTCGGTTTATAGTGCACCCTGGTTTTTAACACCAACGTGGTTATAAAACATCCAGAACGGATTTCCATCCATTGAAATCCCCTGGCTATACCGCCACCTCCACCGCCACCTCCACCGCCCCTGCTAACGCCAACGCCAACGCAATATTTATATGCCAAACGGTCGGCTTGGCAAATCAACGGCTTTGATCAGCTGAATAAATATTGTGTGCACATAGTTAAGCAAGGCTTTTTATCATTGGTTAAGCTAAGCTTATCAACAGATAATACAAAATATTATAATACTGTAATGTAAATCTGTTCAAGCTGCCATCTATTTCCTCTGTGAAAAATATAGAAGGCAGCTTGAACAGATTTATTAATACTATTACACAGGGTCAACCGCCTACAACGACCCAGTTGGATAATTTTGGAACTGTTGCAACAACAACAGTTCCAAAATTATCCAACTGGGTCGTTGTAGGCGGTTGACCCTTGTGCGTAACAGTACTTTGACATAGATTCAGTGACAGGACGAGGTTATCAAGGATGTTAGATAGACATGCATTAATGTCATCGTCGTACACGAATTAAAACCTTTTACACATAAACTTCATAAATCCGGATTACGTCATAAATCCGGTCCGGATTAAAGGACTCACGGAAATAGAAATAAAACGGTTTTTGGCGTTTATTTCGTAGTTTGAACACAACTAAAATTTCATTGTTAGGTATTCTATGGCTATCGTTTTTTCCAACTTTTGTTTTAAACATTTTTTGTAAAATCATCCGAATATAGATGAGTTTACAGGAGAGGAAATTGTGACGTAAGTTATAACATGTTTCTAAATTTGTTGTTAATATGCACATATATGTTATTTTTACCTGAAAATGGTATTTTGTATAATGATTAGATGACCAAATTAAAAGGCCCAGTTGGGCAAAATATAGTTGTTATACCCCCACCATATAAGGCTGGGGGCATATAGGGTTACCCTCCGTGTCCGTCCGTACGTCTGTCCGTCCGTCCGTCCGCACGAAACAGGGAATGTACTCTATCCACTTCTCCACAAAAAACGCTCTGTGGAATTCAATGAACTTATACATGAGCTTTCTTGGGACTCTAATGGTGTGCATCTCATATTTTGTTTTTGTATTTTATTATTTCTTTGTAAGTTTAGAGACAATTGAACTTAGATAAATTTCTCTCTGATGACAGTGAAATAGGGGATTAGGTCTATCCACTTCCCCACAAAAACTGCTCAACAGAATTGATTAAGCTTATACGTGTGTTTCATTGGGTTTTGAAAGGTGTGCATGTCATAGTTGCATAGATGTTTATTGAACTTGTACGTGAATTTTGTTCAATTATTGATCTTTATATGATAATGGGTTGTGTTATCTGCCCCCTCAACACATTGTTTATTAGTGTTTTCAAGTACTTCAGTGGGACCCTGAATGTGTGAACTCTTCCTACAGCAGCGGGGGCATCCGTGTCCCTGGACACAATTTTTTCTTGTTTAAATATTTGTTAAAACTACCTATTTCAATCACGTAATAAGCACTTAAACACCCAAAACCATTATATTTATATTTCAGAGAGTACCTTTTTTAACAAATATAAGGAACACATAATGTTAATGTATTATTCTACATGGCTGCACCTTACAGGACGCCATGTAGTTAAGGTGAAGGCTTTGGTGTGAGCTATTTTCCTAATGTTTTGTTGATATCTCACAGGCGCGAGCTTTTATATGTTTATGACAGTAAATAAACTGTTTATATAATTTCATTTGTCTATTTCACCACACGTTCTTCTTACCGAGTCACTTTCTCAGTTCGATACTTAAAAGCAATGCTATTATTTAGCGTTGACACAATTTCTAACTGTGATATAGATATGTCGCTGTCACAGACAAAGCTCAATGTCTTGTTTTATTGACACCTGTGTGTCTGCCTGCCTGTCTGCTAATGACAATATTCAATACACAACTGCGATCACTGACCACATGCAATTTGAACTTAACACCAATCAGGCTATACACCATAAACAAAACGCATTGATTTATGGCCCGAGTTCGGTCTCTGTCACATTATGTAATTCCACAGACAGGCAGGTGTGATACTTGAACACACATTACATGTTATGATGTCTGTTGATTGCAAAATGTTATACACAAAAAAATGCGATTATACGCTTATACACAACAATCAAACTGTCATGAACATGAAGGATAATTGTGGGACAAACACAACAATCAAAACAATCAAACTACATGTGGGTGGGACAAACACAACAATCAAACTGTACATGAGGGTGGGACAAACACAACAATCAAACTGTACATGTGGGTGGGACAAACACAACAATCAAACTGTAAACATGAGGGTGGGACAAACACAACAATCAACAATCAAAACTGTACATGTGGGTGGGACAAACACAACAATCAAACTGTACATGTGGGTGGGACAAACACAACAATCAAACTGTACATGTGGGTGGGACAAACACAACAATCAAACTGTACATGTGGGTGGGACAAACACAACAATCAAACTGTACATGAGGGTGGGACAACACAACAATCAAACTGTAACTGTGTGGGTGGGTGGGACAAACACAACAATCAAACTGTAACATACATGGGTGGGACAAACACAACAATCAAACTGTACATGTGGGAGGGACAAACACAACAATCAAACTGTAACATGAGGGTGGGACAAACACAACAATCAAACTGTACATGAGGGTGGGACAAACACAACAATCAAACTGTACATGAGGGTGGGACAAACACAACAATCAAACTGTACACATGAGGGTGGGACAAACACAACAATCAAACTGTACATGTGGGTGGGACAAACACAACAATCAAACTGTACTGTACATGTGGGTGGGACAAACACAACAATCAAACTGTACATGTGGGTGGGACAAACACAACAATCAAACTGTACATGTGGGTGGGACAAACACAACAATCAAACTGTACATGTGGGTGGGACAAACACAACAATCAAACTGTACATGTGGGTGGGACAAACACAACAATCAAACTGTACATGTACATGTGGGTGGGACAAACACAACAATCAAACTGGACATGAGGGTGGGACAAACACAACAATCAAACTGTACATGAGGGTGGGACAAACACAACAATCAAACTGTACATGTGGGTGGGACAAACACAACAATCAAACTGTACATGTGGGTGGGACAAACACAACAATCAAACTGTACAAATCAGAGCATGGACAACACACGACCAACTGGAACATGGGCTGGAACGACCAACCAACTGGACAACACAACAATGGACAAACACAACAATCATGGAACAGATGGATCATACACACCGAATCAAACTGTACGTAATGGGTGGGACAAAACTACACACAATCAACTGGAATATGGATTACAACCACAATCAAACTGGACATGGACAACACAACAACGAATCAAAATGGATCACGAACACATGGACAAAATCGGAAATTAAGGAAAATGTACAGGTGGACAAACACAACAATCCAACTGTACTGAAGATGGGACAAACACAACAATCAAACTGAACACATGGATCAAACAACCGGAACACACGACAATCAAACTGTGACACATGGACAAACTCACAACAAACTTCTTTTACGGAAATCGACAAACACAACAACCTGAACATGGACAACACAATGGCACATTCATGTGGGTGGAACAAACTGCCTGGCACAATCAAACTCTGGCATGTGGAACACAACATGGACAACAACATGGACGGGAACACAACAATCAACTGGAATGGAAAAACAATCAGATGTGGACAAACACAACAATCAGGCATGGACACATGAACAACAACTGGAACACAAATATGGACAACACAACAACACATGAAATATGGACAGGCACTACAACCGGAACGCTGGAACATGGGGGTGGACAAACACAACAATCAACCAAGCTGTACATGAGATTGGAACAACATGGACAATCCAAACTGTACATGAGGGTGGGAACACAACAATCAAGAGCTGGAACATGGAGTGGGATAACCATAATCAAACAGTACATGAGGACAGGACACAACAATCACAACTGTGTACATTAGAGATGGACATACACACAGTGGAATCATAACTGAATGTAGGAGGACAAATGGAACAAATCAACTGGAAGATGGATTGGAATCAATGAACAATGAAACAACAACGTAATGGGTGAAGCCAGGTGGACAGAACAACCGAACTCGGAAGCATTGTACATGGTGACAAACACAACAATCGGAAGAAGGAACGAAACATGACAACTGAAGATGGTGGAGACAAACCACAAGCAATCGAATGGAACATGAGGTGGAACAACCGGAATATTAAATAATCAACCTGTAGAAGGGTGGACAAACACAACAATCAAACTGGAAGGGTGTGGACAACAAACTGAACAATCATGGAACATGAAAGGTGGAACAAACACAACATGGATGGAATGTACATGTGGTTGGGACATACAGAATCAACTGGAACATGGGT